AAGGGGTATTGGAGTCTCTGGGTATCGCGGAGTGTTGGCAGTCGTACCACGCAAGTGGTGGGCCATTCCTTTGTGCAGATGCTTCCGTGTGGTTCATGATGTTGCTTGGACATGTATACTGCCCGGCGTAAGTCTAAACAAAAGCTTCATGTGAGTAGTTCTCTAAATTANNGTTCCAAAAATAGTACGGCACCCTTATACAAAGGACTCTAGCTACCCGGCAGCTACCCATGTAGTGGTGTAATTGCTTTTCGACTTCAGCGATGGTCTTTGCAAGTGTTATTACTTTGTCCAACGTGGCACATGTCTCAAGCATTTTACCGGTTCCGGAGTAAAGGCTTCCTTTTTCTCAAGTCGGAGCCGCTTTTCGGTTCGACTTGTGCATCCGGTAAAGCTATTGAACCAGGAGGCGCTCTGAATGTCGTGACTCGACAATGCGAGGGAGTCTCTTGATGATCCGAACCTTAAGGCTTTACGATACTACAAAAAGAATCCGGGCATGTTTGCCACCAACTTGGAGCAACAACTTCCACCAAGCTAGCCAATCAGGTTGACAAGCCAGCACGGTAACATGCGACTTCAGCAGAATCGCTAGCTTGAGCATGATTCGAGCTCGTGTAGGTGACTTAACCTTTGACGGTAGCACTTCTTTGTTCCAGCTGACCAGGCTTCGATGACAACGAAGAGCAGTGCCACATACCTTGGGGAGGACCTGAAAGAAGTGCCATGATCAGAGAGTAGGCCATGAACCTCATGTTTGCCGTACATTTCCAGATCATATGTTCAATCCTAAACCCTAAACCCTAAACCCTGTGTTGCAGAACCTGGGGAGCAAGCCAGGACTCGGCGAGTGGATTTCCCACAACGTCTTCGCCTCCAGACCACCCAAGTCTGCCTTCTGTTTCTCGAACGCGGCTTTCAGATCAGGCAAGTCTTGTAGACGTGGATGTTGTGGATGTCGAGTCCGACTTCATGGATTGGCACTATAGTCTACCATAACTTTTCTTACATACAATAAAACACTATATCATACTGTGATATATAACATACTATCAAATAGCAACTGTTTGATGACGGTCCAGCGCCGAAGCGAGGCTTCAGTGGCAATGAATCGTTCAACCCGGACCGCTTCGAGTTTGTTCTGGAGCACAAGCAGAAGCTCGAGGAGATTCGCATGGCACGTGGCCGGGTGCAGTGACTGCTTGAGTTCGTGGAAAACCGCCATCAGGACGCGAATGCTGAGTTCGAAGCCTCTCACGTGCCCCAGCCTCTAAGCAGGCCTCGCCATGCACTTGACTGATGACAGACTCTTGGGACTCGCAGGGTGTAGAAGTTCACACAGGCGGCTCTACCACTTCTTCAACGCGCTGCATGGCTGGGACCTTTCGCTGCACTTGGTGACGTCACAGGAAAGGTAGCAGAGAAAGAGTCAAGTCGCAGTGGCCACACTGTGCATCCACAATTCCAAGGAGAGGCACACCTGTGCTTCTCGGATGCATGGCCCTGCATGTGTAATATAGGGGCCTAAATAATTACCATACTTGTACCCTGTGTTTTCTGTGATAGCAGAAAGGCTAGAAGTCTCCAGTCTGAGGCAGCACTTTTCGACGAGACAACACTGGCTTCTTGACTGAAGTTCAGGGTTTTGGGTTTAGGGTTTAGGGGAAGCTTTGCGACTCGTTTCTCAGCCGTTGCAGCCTCCGCGATGCACGAGGTAAGCTACTCGTTTCCATGTTGGTAGTTCTTTAATTTAGGGTTCCTTTGTAGGCCCCCAACATAGTACGGCGCCCTTATAAAAAGGTCCCTCAAAGGGACCCTAATTCAGGGAGCTACCCATGTGGGAGTTTTAGCCGTCTCTGATCCGGCGGAGTTTCAGGTCGGTCACCTCTTCTCTACAAGTTTCTCATCTGGCCATGGAGCTGTGACAAAGGCTGGACTATTCGGATTTCAAGTATACCATCTTTGGTCTTTGAAGACTGCAGCATGTACAACCGAGATGAGAGTGTATAAACACCTGTAGGGTTTAGGGTTTAGAGTTTAGAGTAGTAACTGCATCGGCAAGCCGAGACTATTGACAGGCAGCAGAAGTGCCAACACAGCATGTACAGTGGCTTTTGCTCCCGCCAAAAGACAGGCCGCATTCTATCACTGCCTCAAAACAGCACCTTGCAACCAGCAACGGCTGCATCAGCTGAAAATCAGGCAAGCCGAACATAATGTGGCGGAAAGATCAACGCTGATGTGTCACTCCAGGCAAACACGAGCTCGGAATTCCTGCTTCCTCGCTGCACTGAGAAGCTGGCACCCAGGGAGTGCCGCCTTTTAAGAAGTTTGAATGGGCCAGTGAAAGCTGTCAGCCCCTTACAAACACGAGCAGCACGCTACCGGAGAACCCGTATGTGCACCCATGGCACATGTAGTGCCAGAGCAGTCTCTGCAGCCAAGGAGGGCGCATCCCGAGTTCAACAGTGTCAGCAAGAACTACGTCAGCCTTGACGGACCACGAACACTTTGACAGTCATTCATCGTCGTTGCCAAAGGGCTGTAACATGTCAGACAATCGGTGCAGTGCGTATTGTCTCTGTGATGCCTCCAACCCTGCAGGAAGAAGTCTTCCTTGCCAAATGGACCAGTGACACCGACCGATGCAAAGCTGATAACCACTGGTGCAAGCAGCAAAAAAGGGGGCTACTCGTTGCGCGCCTTATGATTGTTGCCCGCCTCATACATCCGAAGAAGTCAGGATCGTCAGAGCGCATCCTTGCTGAGCGTGCAATGCCAGGGTAGACGAGTGATGGCACTAGGCTACCTCACATGTCTGACTTTCCTTCTGCTTTTTGTTCTTGCAGGAGCTGCATCAAACCATCTTGGCGCACAACCACAACGCGGATCTTATCAAACATCACAAGGACGCTCGTGTCAGAGCGGGCACGAACCGGAGAGTCGCGTTTTGTGCCCTACCTGCCATTTCTGACAGAGACAAGCACTGACCGTGTGTTCTTCAATTGCCACACGCGTGCCCTTGCTTGCAGAATTTCAAGCGTAACTTCGCGTTTCCGATTTTGAAGGCTCCTAATTCACTCCTCCGATAAGACAGCGTTCGCTGAACCCTGTCGAATCCTAGAACCCCAAAAGCCCTAAGCCCTAAAGCCCCTAAGCCTCAAACCCATTCCTAAACCCTAAACCCTAAACCCTAAACCCATTACACTTTCAAAGTTGAAGCCCCAAACCGAACTGCAGGATTCCATAGATGCTCTTCGTGAGCGATGCGCAAAGATGCAGGGAAATTCGACCAAGACCTCCGAGGCCAGATCCCTTGCATTTTCGAAGCTTGAGGCTTCGGATTTGGGGTTTTTTGGGGATTTCGGGTTTAAGGGCTCAGGGTTTAAGGGTTTAGGGTTTTTTGGGGATTTCGGGTTTAAGGGCTTGGGGTTTAAAGCGTTTAGGGTTTACGATTTGGGGCAAAGGGCTTCAGGGGTTGGGAATTCGGGGTTTAGAACATGACATGACCCAGAATTGCCAGATCGTAGACGCCGAAACCCTGGCCCCCACTTGATCAAAACCCCCTAGAAACAAGCCCCAAACCCCAAAGCAAACACTCGACTTTGTCTTCAAACACCACGCTGACATGCCAGATTCAGCTGCAGCTGAGACAGCTGGACGCGAGGCTGAAGCAGCAGCAGAAACTCGGATGCCACTTTATGGTTTTATGGTTCAAGGGCTTCTAGGATTCTAGGGTTCAGGCTTGTAGGCTTTGGGGCTTAGTAAGTTTCCGTGTTGGGGTTTCACCCTAAACCCTAAACCCCAAACCCTAAACCATAAATCGTAAACCCGAAACCCTAAACCCTAAACCGTTTCAGTAGTTACATCAACTGCTGACAGTGGCTCGGGCTCTGACAGTGCTGTCGTCTCTCAGGAAGCAGCGGAAATTGGATCCGTTGTTCGAGAGGTGCTGGGGATGCCCTGTGGTTCGTGGTTTAGGTTTCAGGGATGTTAGGGCTCAGGGATTTAGGGAGTTTAGGGTTTAGGTAGGGTTTAGGGTTTAGGGTTTATTAGGGAGCTTGGGGATGCTGCGCTGCATGTTCTAACTCGGGGCTTCACTCACTTTCCTCCTGGGGCCGGGGGGTGAACGGCAGGCTGTCAGCCTTGGAGTTGAAAGTTGCCACCGGTGCAACGGGAGCTTCAGCCGGTGCTCAAACCGGTGCTGCCGCCGCGGAGCGAGTCTCAGCACTTTCGGCTTTGAGTGCGAAGCTGAGCAGTTGCAGTGACTACTCAGACTCATTATAGATTATAGTCTACATTACAGTTACATGACATTATTACAGTATATATTCTATCTCACTGTGACCAAGAACCTTTTGCGAGGCTTGGGGTGCGTACTCCCGGTCGCCGGTGGCAGGGGCCTTGTGGAGCTACGAAGAATTACACTTGTCTTTGACTTGCACACTATACCTAGCTGTGACCCGACGAATGCTGAGCATCGCATCCAGCAAAAGGGCTTGTTTTCAAACGGGTAGTTCTCGAAATTCGGGTCCCTTTTTAGGTCCCCAATATAGTACGGCACCCTTACAAAAAGGACTCTAAGAGGGACCCTCATTTAGAAAACTACCCATACTCAGAACCCGTGTAGAACCCTGATAGAAACCATAAATTCCGAAGTGCCTTATAGAACCGCTATAGAACCTTATGGAAACCCCTTATAGCTCCCTTTAAGGAACCGCTAAAACGGGACCCTATTTTAGAGAGTTACCCCAAACCCTAAAACCCTAAAACCTAAAACCCTACAACCCTAAACCCTACGACCCTAAAACCCTACACCCCTAAACCCCAAAAACCCTAAAACCCTACAACC